GATTACAGATATAAGCCACCATTCTTGGCTCAAGCATGGGCAAGCTTGACATAGATGAGATGCATTCAGATGTATAGAGATGCCATACCTTGGGATACTATCCCTCCCACCACATGGATGTCCATGGGCCATGTATTACAATTCCAGGGCACTTTCATATGGAAATTTTCAGCGTGTGCTTGTCTCTTTAAACAACATGGCAAAGCATTTTTGTTGTTGTCAGGGATATAGGAGTGCCAAAGAACTGCAGAAAAATTAGATTACAGAAAATATAGTGAAGATATCTAATTATAGTTAAATTTAACAAGCCCAAGAGAAAGGCCGGAGGGAGTGTGAGCCAGAAGAGAGAGAGAGATGCACTTTGCACCTAATGTAGTTTGCTTTATAAGCTCAGTTTGAATGTTTGCCTCTGTGGCTGCCTGCTTTTTATTGCCTCTCTCTTTCTACCTCCAGCCTCAGGTCCTCTTAGCCTCTCAGGTGCAGCTGTGTGGAAACTTTTGCTTTCATTGCTTGGCATATGCAGATCCACTCAGCATCTTCCTCTGCAGCCCTCCTCTGCCCCACTTCTCTGCTCTGCTCTCAGCTGGAAGTGCCCTGTGAAGGAGACCCTTAATTGCATACCTCCCTGGGATCTTTCTACAGAAATGAGCACATGTGATTATTTTGTTCTTTGGGTTTGAGTTTCCTGGTCTTCAACTTGGGTCTAAGTCAACTCTGCAATCTAAAAGCTATGCCACCCATAGAACCAGGGAATAAATTTAAACAGAAGCCAGAAGTCTCTGGATGAATGTAAGCCCAACTATAAAACAAATGTTTGGCACAAACAGGAGATCTGACAAGTTGGAGGAGTAGACTTACACAGCCGTGTTTGCCTTTAAAAGAGTTGGATCAAATTTGCTCACTCAATAGTTAGTTCCATTGGTTTTTTTAGGGTCAGCAAGGGTTAGTCATTTCAGTGCTCCCTTGTGAGGGTTTCTCTTTACCATTTCCACATTTAAATATCCAACATGAGTCTTCTTGACTTGAGTCACTCAGTTTTCTGACTTGTCATTGCATTAGTCTTTCATTCTCAGAGACTTCGGAAGAGAGAAAAGGAGTAACAAGGATAGAGAGCTGTGCTAAGCTTTCCACGGGGGTTCACTGTGGTGGTCACATGCCAATCTACAAAAATTGATTCTGGCAACCTTGCTGGTAGTAAAGGGATCCCTTATTATCTATTTGTTCCACTTTCTTAGTCACACTCTTCACTGCATAAGTGACTTTTCACTCAGCAACAGTTGACAAGGAGGATTTTATAAGAACTAGCTATTTCCCTACTGACAGATTTCAAGCCATAAATGAGCTACTGTATTTTTGCTTAAATGTGTCCCATACATTTAGCGTTAGTATTTTCAGTTGTAGGAGGAAGAGGCGTGCTGTCAATAAAGATTCACTTTGGAGATTGTAAAAGCGTTGAGAACATTAGGCACAAAATTAGTTCACTTTCTCTGTGCACGTCTCTGAGCAGGTGCAGCAGCCTGGCTCTGAGGCAGGTGCTCTTGGTACATATTATTGTGTTGGGGCTTCAGCACTGTGGGCATGTTACCGACTCTGTAGAATTACAAAGCTGGAGTCTAACCTTGAGACCAGTGGTTCTCAACCTTCCCAATGCTATGACCCTTTAATACAGTTCCTCATGGTGTGGTGACCCCCCAACCATAAAATTATTTTTGTTGCTACTTCAGAACTGTAATTTTGTGACTGTTTTGAATCATAATGCAAATATATGATATGCAGGAAGGTCTTAGGTGACCCCCGTGAAAGGGTCACTTGACCCCCACAGAGGTTTCGTGACCCACGGGTTGAGAATCACTGCTTTAGACTGACAGAGGAATAGTTCCTCGTTGTATTCATTGACCACTGCACTGCTGTGTCATGAGGTATAACCGAGTCTCACTCCGTTACTCCTCAACATCACCAAGTACTTGAGTATGACAGTTCCTAAACTGAAACTATTTTAATTTAAAAAAATCATATGGCTGTCTCAGCTGTGCAATTTGTAAAGAGAAACATGAGTTTGAAGTTGACCTTGAGCTTAACATAAGTGGTGCCCTGCCATTTCACTCAGCACCAACTTCTTTCCTAGCACCCCCTGCCCATATTTTTTATGTAGTGGTAATAATCGGGCCAATAATTTCTATTTTTAACTAATGATAATTTTCTATGAAACCTTTATATGGCACAGCATTACAATAAACTTCTTTTTTAGTTCTAGTGAACAAATGTCATTAATTTGCTTAACCATTCCATTATTTTTTTGATATTTGTGGGTTTTGACTAATACATACAATGCTTAAATGAGGATATTGTCCATGTAATTGTTCTACATAATACAAATCTCTTCCGAGGTGTGGAATGAATTATTCAAAGGTTTTGAATAATTTTGTTTTCTAGATATAAACTGACAGTAAATCATAGTAATTTTAATCAATTTGAAACAGTATCTACCTTCCATCTCATTACATATAACTCATTATGTGTTCATTTCATTTTTCTGTATATCTATATAAGAATGCAATAAAAGAAAAGAGACAAAGTTTCAAAGTTCATTATCACACTGCTTATCTGTACACTTGTATTCACTTGGTTTTCTTATTTTTTTCTATCAGGTATAAATTAGCCCATTTCTCTTTATACCCTGACCACTGACCTCTAAGTATTCTGCACCTAAAAACTAACTCAATTTCCACTTGGATATTCTATAAGCATCTTAAACAGCTCAAAGCAATTTCAAACCACTTTCCCTAAACTGCTCCACTCACTGCTGTGTTACTTAAAACCAACACCATGTGCTCATCTTAAGGACCCTGGAGTCAGCAGGCACTCTTTACTGTAACTCCTATAAACGTGAGTCCTCAGCAAATCAAGTTAGCTTCACTGGAAAAATCTCTTCAGACCTGACACCTGTCTACAGGCTGCCCTGATGCCACCTGCTCCATGTAACTGCCATCATCTGTCCGGATTACTTGTTTCTTTGTCTCTATTTCTGTTCCCCCAACAGAATGCCAAAAAGCACCTCTTCTGGTACACTCCTGCTGTGAGAAAGGCCAGGTCATGCTCTCCATAAGCCCGAGAACCTCTAACAAATATTCATTTTATTTAGAAAAAAAAATAAAGCCCAGACCTTGCAAACCTCTCCTCCTAATGTTTCCTTTTCACTGTTCTGCTTGGTGGCTATGCCGCCTCCTGCTGCACCACTCTCCTGCCCCTGTGCAGCTTTTCTGACTTTTCAGTGGCTAGCCCATCGGTTGCCACTGCCTGGATCCCATTCATAACTTTTCTTCTTCAACATTATGACAAAGGGCATTATCTGCAACATTCACGGATATATCCCTAGTATGCAGAAATGTCTGGCATCGAGAAGGTACCAAATAAATATTGGTTGCACAGGTGACAAGGAAACTATGCAGGTTAGATAAATTACTCTGGAAACTCAGCCTACTACTGTATGGATTTGGAAACAGAACCTAGATCTGCCTGTCACACACCATATCCAGATGATGTAAAATAACGGGGAACATTCTTACTTTACTAGTTTCTGAATTCATCTTTCGTTGGAAGCTTTGGAAAATTCACTCATAAAGCTATTTGAATTAATATTTTTCTTAGTAGGATATGTAAAACTTCAAAATTTTATGCAGTTGTATAATTATTCAGGTTATCTGTTCTTTCTGGGTTAGGCTGTCTAAGTTGTAAAGTCTACAAATTTACTTCATATAAGTTTTCACATTTATGGTCAGGAAATTGTTTATCTTCAACTCATAGATGCCAGACTGCCCCTCAGATCAGGGGTTTACTGGAAGAAATAATAGCAAACCTCTACTTACAGTCATGCTCACAAATAGGTTCTGTTCTAGCAAAGGACAAAGTGTGGGCTAAGCGACAGAATAAACAAGGAAGCAGAGGCAGGAAAGTCCGGGCAAGGCTTCCAGGCATGCCTTCCTCATCAGGGTCATAAGGTGTCTCCAGTCACAAACCACAGACATAGTATGAGACATCTTCACCAGGAGCCCTCTGGAATACTAGAGTTATTGAACAGTCTTGGGCAGCTTTGACATCCTTATTAGCATCTTAGTTGCTGACTTTCTTAACATTGGAAGATTTAAATTCTCAGAATTACACCAAGCTAGTGTCAGCATTCTTGGTGTCTGGAGATAAGGGAAAACTCAGAAAGACAGACATGTTGCTTCCTTCTTCCCATATCTTCAGCATTGCACCCTTGGTAGTTTGTTCCATTCTTAAAACTGTATATCTGTGCTAGTAAATTCTGCTTAATCATTATTGCTAGTACTTCAAGTATAAAAATATGTGCTTTCACTGATGTCCTATAATATATTTCATAATATTAGATAACCTGTATTGTGCCATCAAAAACACATTATACAACTTAAGTTTTATAATAAATAGCATAAATTATGTATTTGACATTATTATCAAATTTATGTTGTGCAGGTTGCTTATTAAATATTATAAAACTATTTAAAGAAAAATTCCAGGTTTAATGAGTAACACAGACTCCAAAAGACAAACACAGTATGTACTCACTTACATGTGGATACTAGATGTAAAGCAAAAGATAATCAGACTACAACCCACAGCTCCAGAGAAGCTAGGAAACACAGAGGACCCTAAGAGGAATGTACAGATCACCTTGGGAAGGGGAAACAGGAGATCTCCATGAGTAAACTGGGGATGAGGGGAGGCCATAAAGGGGAGGGGATGGGGGATGAAAGTATGGGGGAATGGCACGGTCAAGCTGGGGGAGGGACAGAGTGGGAGAGCAATGAAAGAGATATCTTGATAGAGGGAGCCATTATGAGAAAGCTGGTGATAGGGAAATTCACAGGAATCCATAAGGATGACCCCAGATTAGACTATTAGCACTCCACTCTAGTGGAGAGGGTGCCTGAACTGGCCTACCCCAGTAATCAGATTGGTGAGTACCCTAACTGTCATCATAGAGCCTTCATCCTGTAAATGATGGAAGCAGATGCAGAGATCCACAGCCAAGCGCCAGGCTGAGTTCCAGGAGTCCAGGCAGAGAGAGAGAAGAAGGATTCGATGAGCAAGGGGCATCAAGATCATGATGGGGAAATCTACAGAGACAACTGAACCAAACTCAAAGTAACTCACGAACTTTAGACTGACAGTTGTGGAACCTGCAAGGTACCAGACTAGATCCTCTGCATACAGAAGACAGTTGTGTAGCTGTGTCTGTTTGAGGGGCCCCTGGCAGTGTGAACAGGATCTGTCCCTGGTGCATGAGCTGGCTTTCTGGATCCTGTTACATATGGTTGGACACCTTACTTGAGGCAGAGGGGAGGTCCTTGGTCCTGCCTCGACTGAATGTACCAGGCCTTGCTGTCCCTCCGTGGGAGAACTTACCCTTTTGGAGGAGGGTATGATGGGTGGGTTGTGTGTGGGGGTTGGGGGAGAGCTGGGGGAGGAATGAGAGGGGGAATCTGTGGTTGGTATATAAAATGAATAAAAAAATCTTTTTAAATAAAAAATTTTAAAAAAGAAAGAAAAGTCCAGGTTTAATGAGTAAAACACTCCTGGATGATTTTCTGGCCACCAAAGAGGAGGTGGGAGAAGAGACCAAAAAACCACATGTCCGTTCTCTGGGGGACAGTTTGGAGTGGTCTTGAGCATATCTGGGTGAGGAGTCACCGTTTGGTGGGTCTTCTGAGATGAGGCAAGGTTTGGAGGGAGGGGGGGCCTGAGGTGGAGCTTCCACCTGAACATCCCAGACTCTTTGGGGATATGGACACTGGGTTCATATCTGGCTACTTCCTGTGGGCTTGGACAACATGGGGAGGGGGAGTCGAAAGTTGGTGGACTCACACTCAGCAGGAGGTGTGGGTGAAGAAGCATCCAGTTAACTGCCATCCTGGAGACCTCAGGCATCTGTTTCTTGAGGAAGCAGAGGAGGCAAGTTGCTAGAACAAATATTATTAATACCTGCCTTATGAACAGACTACCCATGGGAAGAGTGATCAGATAGGCCCTTGGGACACTTTGGAAAACCGGAGGGTGGAGGGTCCCAGCTGCTGGACAGACTATGTATCCTGAATAGGTGCCCACATGAGCCTGGAGAGATGGTACCAGCATGGAAGTCCCAGGATCTTGGCAGCTGAGGGGAGGGGAGGATCATGGTGTAAGGTGCTGTCCATTGGAGCTCATGCCTTCACTTTCAGAACAACAGGCCAGCCAGCCTTCACTTCTAGGGTCATGGTGCTCATGTTGGAAGCTCTCAACATTTTCTGGAAGCTCTACATCTCCTACCATACACAATCATCGGGAAAGGTTGAGAGAGTCAATGGACTCATAGAACAGCAGCTCTCCAAGCTCTCCATTGAACTCAGTCTATCTTGGCTCCCCCTTCTCCCCATTGCCCTTAGTTGCCTCCAGGCTACCCCATGCTCCCCTACAGACCTAAGCTCTTTTGAGCTCCTCTACAGAAGGCCCTTCCTCCTCAATCACCACCTCCTGGCCCAAACTCCTCCACTGGCCGGGTACCTCTCCTACTTTTCCCTTCTGAGGTCCCTTCTTTATTCACATGATGAGAGCTATCTCACTGCCCCCACACCAATGGACCCAACTGCTCCAGAACCTGCCCCACTCTCCCCTGAGGGGACCGAGTACTCCTCAAAGAGCTAGCTCCTAAGTCTCTCAAGCCCTGATGAATAGGACATTGCATTATAAAATATTTTATTCCAATATATAATATTCTATGTATTTAATTTTTTCTTTTCATTTCACTATTAATTTTCCTTCTATTAAATAGTCCAAGTTTATTTGATTTATATTCCTTATGCTGTTCACATTTGTATAAATATTGCATGTGTTTTTTAGAGATAATGTCTTCTTTAACTTCTGGATACACTGTCATAAATATATGTGTTAGACAAATTTGTTAATGTTTTCTAATTTTCTGTAGCACCCCTTCTTTTCTGTTAGTTTGCTTGCTTGATTTATGAAATACTAAAAAAACACAATGTGTTGAAATCTTTCCTCCTGGGTCAGTTTGTCAATTCCTCCTTGTAGTTCTGTCATTTTTGTTGTATATTTTGATGATACATCATTCTGTGCACAAACGTTTCTCTAAGTACTCTGTGAATCTTTTTTCATTATATTGACACTTATGTCTAGAAATATACTTTGTCTTAAATCATCTTTTGTTTGGTAAGATTGTTGCTGCAGGTATAGTCTTTTAGTTATTTTTATTTGAATACTTAAGCATCTTACCTTATATCATAGTTTTTTGGTACCACTTTTATGACTATATTTGGCAATTTGCTAACTCCTTTGTCTGATTTTATTTAAATATTTTGTTACCTGTCTTTGAAAGCATGTTGTCAGGAAAGTTACACAATAACAAAAAATTTGAAAGTTCATCACAAGCATTTTATATTCAGTACTTCCAAAATGTTCCATAGAATATCTGTACCTGCTGACTTTGTCTCAGCAGTGCAAATGCATTTGATACTCTGTCCCTTCATTCCTCATGACACCAGCACTGTCCAGCTGTTTACCACAAAGCATTTCTATATAACTTTATAACACCCAATTATAAATGTGAATGCTGTATAAATAATGACTATACTAAGCTTATTGAGAAAGGATGTTATAAACACAGTGTCTTTACTGGGTCGATATGAGTGGAAACTGATGTTAAGAATAATTTTGATCTCTGACGGGTTAAATCCATAGCTGTAGAATTCTTGGATTTGACTGGCTGTCTGAAGTGTCAACTGGAGAATCTGTGCCCATTTTGCTTGACTTACAAGTTCCTTGCCCATGAATAATCTTTACATTCATTACTTATTTTTAAATTGGAGTTTTTTATTCATATTTACAACATTTTATTGCCTATTCCAAATGCTAAACCCTTGCATTGAGATATAAATATTCCCTATCAATCTGAAATTTCTATAAAGTATTTTTGAATGGTGTGAAGCTTTAATTATGCTAGGTGAATGTCCTGAAGATGCAATATATAGAAATTTTACATATGAGCAAATTTCATATGTTCTACATGTACTATTATTTGTGTATCAAATACTCTCCTATAAAGTTGTTAAATAATGAATAAAAATTCTGCTGAATTTTACATAATCAATTCCATCATCATTTTGACCATGGGTCATGCTTCTGAACACTTACATTTTCTGTCTAAGTTAGAAAATAATATTCTCTACTTATTTTGAAATACATAAAGCCTTTAATTAAGCTATAATTCGGTTTTATGAATAATATTAGGTAAGGATGATCTTTATTTTTCTCTTCTGAATAAATATATTTTCTCATGGCTGGGCAAATGGCTCAGTCTGTAATGAACTTGCTACATAAGCATGAAGACTTGTGTTTGATCTCAGCACACACGGAAAAAGCCTGGTGTGGTATGTACTTGAAACCACAGGTGGTGAAGACAGCAGACTGCTGGCCTCATTGGCTGGAAAGTTTAGTCTAAACTACAGGCTTCAAGTCCCAGTAAGAGAGCCCATCTCAAATAACAAGGAGGAAATTTCCTGAGGAATGACACCCAAAGTTGATCTCTGGCTTCCACATGCCATGCATCTGCCCACATGCATGCCTTCAGGCACACATGAACTCACAACGCTGCACTCATATCCACAACCTCCCCCCACAAATTTTCTCAGTGTTATTTTAAATTATTATTTCTCCATTAAAATCTGGTGGCCTATGTATCCAGGGAATACATGTGAATCTGTCCACAGAATCTGCATCTAATTTTACTGGCCCATAAGATTATTCTTGAGGATAAATTAATGTATTATTTTATTGCAACTGTAATGCTTTAGCACCTGATGGGGAGTGTAACTTTATGTTGGCTTTGTTTTCTAGTATTGCTTTAGTGTGTCTGCATTAATACAATTTCATTTTTAATTCCAGCCTTTTCTCTGTACTTATTTCCTCTCTATAAAACTAGAGTTATATTTTCATATATTTCAAACAAATTCAGGTAATTCTACATATTACTTAGAGTCCTTTTTCCTCCTGATCCTTTTCCCAATTTCATCTTGTGTGCTTGCAAGGCTGCTAATCACTCTCTTGAATTTCATCCTAGTTTATATGTTCCATATTTTAAAAAACCAATTTCTTATTGGCAGCTATTTAGATTGTTTCCAATTTTTCACGATTATAAATTATGCTGCAAAGAAAAGCATTGCACATGCATCTTTTTAATCATCTGTGATTGATTCCTTAGGACAAATTGCTAGAAATAAAACTCCTTCATCAAAGTATGTGCTATTTTTGAAGTGTTCTCCTGTGCTGCCTAATTGCCCTCCAGGCAGTTTGCACTAAGTTATACTCTCAATGCAGGAATTTGAGAGTGCCCATTTCCTTTTCCTTGCAGTCTATGAAACTGAGAATAATTATTATTTCAATTGTTATAAAAGCTTCTACATGGATGGGAAAATCGCATAGGGGACTAGCAGAGTTATTACTAGTAGGTATTGAACACCTTAAGAATATTTATTGGCCATTTTCAAATTTATGTGTGCAATCATTTCCTTTATTCAACTCGCTTCTAGATGTTCAAATTTTTCTAATTTACTTTTTCTCTTTTTGAGATTATAAATAAAACAGTTTTCCCTTCCATTTCTTTCCTCCAGGTATTTCCATATACCCCTTCTTGCTCTATAGGACACACACACACACACACACACACACACACACACACACACACACACACGAGAGACACGGGGGGGGGCAGGAATTGGGTTGCTTGAGATATCACAGTGAATCAGTGATGTGGACACAGTGGATTTCATCATGATCAAGTTTCAGGATTTCCAGCCCTCCTCTCCTGAACAACAGTTCTCCTTTCTCTCTTCCCACGTTGAGTTATACTAGTTTCCATGTATGATCTAATGCTGCATTGAAGAGAAAATTATGCTCACTGCAGCAGTATTATTATAGAACAAAACAAAATGCTATCCTTAGGGGGGAACACAAAATAGGCAATCCAATAAAACAGGGTTTCATCCC